TTTTTTTTTTTTTTTTTTAACAGAAATTGAAGCCAGAAGGAACAGATGTTTGCCGTTTGGTCGCAACAAGTTTGTGCCAGGGAAGAAAATATAGACTGTGATCGTTTACTATAGAATCCACTTTGAAAATAAACTCGGAGAAGAAACTAGATTTTTCTTAAATCTCTAGATACAGAAAGTGAAATTTGCAGAAGAGTTCTGTTTGTATTAATCGATTCGTTGGAAAATGACTCATCACTCGTTGCAGCTTCGGTCTTTTATGTGTCATCTTTAAACAACGGGTCCTGATTATCCAGATGCATCATGGTCTCAATTTCAGGTTTGATCCTGAAGACAAATTGTTTCTTAAAACATAAAAGTCCACTTTTTCTTTTGTAACTCGATGATTACATTTCTAATCCTTTATTGATTTATTGTCTACACTCCCTCCGGGTTTTCTGTGTGTTTTTCATGGTTGATTACATTTAACTGAATAAACAGTAATAAAAAATCAATTTACATGTTTTGGGCTTTTTGTTGTATTATTGTCAAAGGTTGGTGTGAGGCAAGTTTCTCCTGAAGGTAAATATGCAGTTAAGAAAATGTCTTTGTCTAAACTGGACAGAAACAATTGATTTCTTTGATTAAGAATGTGAACAACTACACTTACATCCAGTTTATAGAGATCCAGGTTTATTGTTGTAAAGAACACACAACATTCTGCTTGTTCACAATGAACCAAACAAAGCTGCAACAGCGTCTGACGCTAACTCCCACGACAGCGTTGTAGAATCAGAGTCGTGACATGAAACATCTGCACCCGACACATCCCACCGACTCTCCCCTTTACACAGATGTTCCTCCAGCTCTGTGACAACATCTGCTTCCATCTTCAAACCAGAACTACGATGATTCCCGATACAATAAAGACGTAACATCCCCACGTTGTTAATACTGTGGCGCTGTACCGACGAGCCGGGCCTGTGATTCCATGGTGAATATTCCTGGGCCCCACAACAGTGATTCTTTGACCCGAGGCCCCTCGACAGATTAACCTTGGACAGGAATCTACAAAACACTGCCGCACATTAAAATCAGCATCTGCAGCTAGTGAATATTTGACTTATTGTTTAGGCTGCTGTTCTTCTTTCCTCCTTATTTGTTTATCATATCAGAAAATACCGATTTCACAATTTCCAAAAGCTTCTTCGAATAAACTGTTTTGTCTCATAAGGGGTCGAACACTTAATATATTAAAATTACAGTCATGAAGAAAACAGCACATCTTCACACGTTTGCGATTATAAATTAACTGATTATCAGAATTGCTGCAGATTCATTTTCTTATCAAACTAAAATCTTGACTCACAGTCAGAGCTCAGCTTCCTGTGGCCAAACCCAAAGGTTTTTAAAAGCTCGTCAACCTCACATCATACCTGCAAATCAGTGAGTGAGGTCAAACAGGTGAAGTGGCCGCGAAGGTTAAATACAGTACTTTGAAGGATGTTAATGGCAGAGGCAGGACCACTAAACACACACACACACACACGCACGCACGCACGCACGCACACACACACGCACACACACACGCTCAAATTTAAGTTGACAGGTGGTGGAAAAACAGACCAACACCTTTTCTTCATCTTTTCCTCAAAATAACCAACGTGTGCGACAGAATGTGTGTTGACTTTTTGGAGGGGGGGTCCCACCCCACATCCCATCAGCCACTGGGCTTCAGACTTGAGGGAAAATGTGACATCCCTCCCTCCGAAGCAGCAGCTCGGTCCGAGAAAACCCTTCCTTCCAAACTTTGCTCGGCTTATCGAAGGAATGTATCTTACATTCTTCGCCACAGATTCCATCTTTGTTCTCGGCTCCAAGTCATCCATCTGATCTCATCTTATTGTAATTTGACTTTGGCTACTGCTGAACATTTGTTTTTTTATTTGAGGTATTTGTACAGAACTGGCACACACACACACACAACCTTAACCAAGTACGAACAGCTGAGACATTTTCTTTTTCCTCTGGTGGATTCAGTCACAAGCTGCAGGAACGTTGCTGCTGCAGCTGCCGTGTGTTTTCAGGCTGTCCTCGGTAGTTTCATGCTGATTTAAAAAGTTTAAAATAACAAGATTTTCACTGCGCTGCTTCTGTTCTTTGCTTGAACTCCGACTTCAGCTGTAAACACCATTTCATTCGTGTTCTTGTCAGGAGGAATAACAGTGCGTGTTTACACAAAACAGCTGCAACGCTGTAGGACGAAGAGCCCGAACTTGGACGTGTCCACATGGAGATTTCCTGTTTCAATCTGGAGGAGAACATCGCACCCATGGGCTACGTTCAGCACTCATCAGAGGTTAGACTGCTGCAAACGCTGAGCGCGGTCAAGCCCGAGTGGTAAAAGAAATACCCACGACAGACATCTGTGTGCATTTTACACTATCTGACCCCTGCAGACAGACGTCCAGACACTATATTCCAAATTGAAGGATTAGAAATTCGATATTTTGGAACGGTGCATTACATTTTGGATCAGAAGGAGAAGAAAAAGCTAGTTTAGTTCAATTTGGGCTGATTCCTTTGAGTTAAAGTCAGAAAACCAGTGCAGCCGTGCTTCAGTAAGACAGGGGAGGCGTCTTGTGGTGCATTTGTTGTTTAAATCCAACATTCAGCATCCGCTTCTCTCAGAGAATGAGGTTTTTTAGAGCATTAAAAAAAAAAAACTTACCTGTATGAGGCACTTGCTGACGTCGCTGGCACAGAGGGCTTTGTTGCAGCCCAGGCTCAGAGACAGTCCCGAGAGGAGGAAGAGGAGAGCTGTGGCGGCGGCGGTGGGGAGGATCAGCTGACCGGGCCTCATCCTGACGGCTCACCAGCACGACACTGGAAACACCTACATCAACAACAACAACACAAGAGCACAGGACCTCAGGAGCAGGGTCAACGAGTCATAAACGTCCGGAGCTGCAAATAACACAAGTTGTAAAAATACAAGACTTTGAATGTGGAGGACACAGAGAGAGAGAGAGTGTGTGAGAGAGAGAGAGAGAGTGTGTGAGAGAGAGAGAGAGAGAGAGAGTACCAGGGAATCAAAATGCAGGAAAACATAGATGGAAAGGTCTAAAAGCCACAGAGTTCATATCAAAATTTGATCTTAATGAGGAAATAATCGGCTTCTCTTTATCTTCATCTCCAAACCAAGCTTTTCACTCACAGTCCCTTCAAAAAAAAAACCCAGGCAGGATCATGTGCACAGTCAGTGTGACATCTGAAACCTACATTTGGTGCCAAGACTCGCACAGCTACAGGCTACAACAGGCTGGAGAGGTGCTGCACACATAATGAAAATCACAGTTTTGTCATGCAGATGGATCTCAAGCTTTCATGTGCAAATGTCAGATTTGTAGAAGGCCTGAGTCATATCTCATTCAAGGCCAGGAGGGAGACAACACACACACGCACGCGCGCGCGCGCACGCACGCACACACACACACATCTGGCAACATCAGCCTCCTTCACCTACATTTTAAAACGCGGAGCATTAACCCACTGTCTGATCTGTGCGTCTTCCCCGCACACTGATCCATTGCTCGTGACGCAGAGACAACATGTGAGGGACCTTCTCTCCCTCGTTGCTTCACCTTCTTCTCTTGTCTTTTTTTTTTTTTTTTTCTCACCGCTAACTCCAAAAAACTTCTGCTCCACTCGAGCTTCACCCGCAGAAACTTCGAGTGCACAAAACCAAACCGCGACACAACGGAGCTGCGCGGAGGAGAAACACTTACCACGAGAGGCTGTTAACAAGTTCACGACTTGTCTTTTATCCGAGGGGCACTGCGGTAGTTTCCTCTTTGAACTCCTCCAGGATGGTGCTCTGCTGCCGCCGCCGCTCCACTGTCCACTGCGTCCACAGGGCGTCAGTCTCTCCGCAGCACAAAGCGACAGGCAGTCGGGCGCCTTAAAGGCACACACTCCATTTTCTCTCCGCCGTGTGTGGAGCAAAACACCGGGCCTCGGGTCACACACGCACCGGCCGAGTGTCTGCAGAGCAACTGGCGCGGAAAGACCCGCGTAATTAAAAACCGCGAATATCACCGAGAGACGTGATTTCCAGCAGCTCCCTCCCCGCGGAGTCCCGTGCGTAAAAGTCTTGTGCGTAAAAATCCACCGCGTTTATTTCCCTGTAGCCGCGCTCGTCGGTAGCCAGACCATGTGGGATGTGTTAGGCTGCTTTTACACCAGCGACCCCCCCTCTACACACACACACACCTCCACCCCTCTCTATTAAACAGCCCTTTGTTTGCAGCCTTATCAGCGGCCTCGTGAGTGCGCTCATTAGGTGAGAAAGGGGCGATTCGGAAGCGGCGGGGCAGAGCAGGCGTCCCGCTGAGACGCGTCCCCCCCCGCGAGGACACACAACCCGGAGCCATTCAACTCCACAGGTGTTGACATGTGTTTTCACTGGAGCTGCATCAAAGCCACAACAGGCCTCGACCTCCAGCCCGAGAGGACGGAGAGGACGCACCTTCAGGCGAGGAGGACACATTTCAATCGGATCCGATCCAGGAGGAAGGAGTCGGTTCGACCAAGTCACATTTTCAGTCAAATTAGTTAATTCTTGTATTTGAACAAACTTTCAGAAAACACAGTTTATTAGGTACAACCAGTTAAAACTAATGGAGTGTTAATAAATCTGTGCTTCAGTAAATCTTCCTTCATGATGGTTCAGTTCAGTTTGAGTTGAAACTGTTTTAGAAAAGTTTAACTTTAAGATAATATAAAATAATCCTTCGTCCCACTATGGGGAAGATTTGCAACATCACAGCAGCGAGAATCAAAAACAGGCATCAGTAAGTAATAATAAGTAACATGCAATACTTAAAATAAGGATAATACTAAAAATATGAATGAATAAAAACAAGTATGTTCATCCATTACACCCAGAGTAAATGCAGTATAAGTTATTATTGTAGATTTTATTATTCTGATGGATGAAAGTCATAATCTGGAGACCCACCTTCAGAGACAAGAACCAGGAGCCTGGTCCCACAGACGCCTGAGCTCAACATCATGGAGTTGGTCTGAGATCAGCTGACAGAGCTGTGTGTGAATGTACTGAGGAGAACTGTGGAAGAATTCAGGTTGTAAGAAGCTCAGTGTCACTTCTCCTGTTGGAAAGATGGAGACTCATATAGTTTAACTAGTAAAAGTATCAGTGGCACCCTATTAAAATATCACATTACAAATGTTTTACTTGAAGTACACAAATATTAGCTGCAAAATGTACTTTAGGTATGAAAAGTACTCGTGTGGTTGCAATGCAAAATACTGCATGAGATCAGTTTATTTAAAATAACAAACATGATGAAATATAAGTAGTGAAGTACAATTATCATTTAGGATTTATATGTACTATGTATTAGTGTGTACAAAATATACGTAAGTATCAGTACTTCAAAATTGTACTAATTTATTAAATAAGTATTTTGTATTTGTCAGTACTCAAGTTAGACTCGGTTGTACAGCGACATCTGCTGGTTGAAGATAGTACTGGTACATAGGATGATCAGAAATAAAGAAAAATCTTTGAGCAGCTGAAACGTAATTATTCTATTTTTTACGAATCATAATTTGAACAGTTTAAAATGAGTGAGGATGTTGTTCACGTTTTCAAAATCAGAAATGTTTTAATGATGATAAATTAATAATTTCAGAATTTGATGTGACTGAACTTTTTTACTGTCAAACTAAAATAATAGTATTAACTTTTTATTTTTCACATTGCTACTGGAGTAAAAACTACGAGTTAATAATCAAAACTCCCAATTAATGGACGACTGACAAAATGATCTGTCACCATTATTTCTTAGTTAGTTTTAAAACAAATTACACCAAAACCAAGAGATTTAATTTCACAACAAATAAAATTTATTCAATTATATATTACAAATATGTACAAGTCATGTAACAAGTAAATATTAAAATAGACATTTTTTAGAACTATCGTTCAAAAGGCATTATGTTGAAAAAATAGGATTTGTTGTGATCTCACATTGAAACTGTAAAAGTATGTTTTTTTTCTCCTTGGAAGCCACAACAGACTTTAATGTGCGCGAGACACAATGGACAACACGCGAGGAGTGAGGCCGCAAGGATGTAACACGATGGCGCGAAGAAAAAAAAAAAGAAGAAAAAAAAAATTAAAAAGCTGGAACACTTCAGTAAACCTCACAATTTAGTCCACGGAACAGCTCTTCAGGAAAAAAGTACAAACAACGCAACGCATGCACAGCATTTAATTGCCAAAGTCAAAAAACACCAGCTGTGGCGTGGAACTCCAGATGAGGAAGGAAGAAACAGTAAAAACAAAAGAACACAACAAAAGCCAACACATGCTTAATGTTTTAAGCCAACAACAACAAGAACATCACGGACGAAGAGGACACTCAATATAAAAACCAACTTTGGTCCATTGAAACATGAGACAGAACGAGTTTACAATCAAAATATCTATTATTTTTTGTTTTTACAAGTTTAAAACAATAATTACATGGCTATTTACAAATGCACATTTTTATGTATAAAATAAGTTAAAAAATTAAGAGCACAATCTGTACACAATGTATGAACACTCACTTTGAAACAATTGAAATCTTTCAGCTGTGTGACCCTGCGTGATGAGGAGCCGGTGGTCGTCGTCCACACTTCCGCCTCTCGCTGCAGCTCCTGGCCCAGCGTTTGGTCTCTACTCCCTGGGCCCCTCCCCCACCCCCTCCTGGTCGGTCCACGTTCCCCCGTCCTCGTGGTGGGCGTGCCGGTTTGGACTCTTAAGAGCTCTGGAGTAAAAACGTCTCTTTTCTAAGTGCTCTTCTGTTTTGCCGCCACATTCTAAGTGCTTTCCTCGTCCTCGAATGCTCGGGCCGCCGCTCGTGTCCGCGACGTGGCCACCACTTTGGCAAAGTACGCCCGTCCCATGGTTCATATCGGGGTGAGGTCAAAGTCGTCGTTGACCTCCACGAGTGGGATGTAGAACTCGGGGATCTCGAAGATGCTGGTGGACTTGTAGGTGGCCGGGTCCAGCTCCTGCAGTTTGAGCTGCCACTCCAGGCGCTGCACGGCGTTCAGGGCCGCCGCCTCGTGCTGTTGCCTCATCAGGAGACACGTCTGCGGAGGGAAAATAACACACATCACTGTTTTATCCAAGCAGATGTTTTCAGTTAGATCGAGATTGAGCAATTCCAATAAAGAAGTGGTCAGTGAAGGACCAGGAACACAACACGTGACAGAGAAAGAGGCGACTGACAAACGAGCAAAGATTTGTCAGAGAAGAAGAATTCTCCAGACGGATGATAAACCCGATGACGCTGCTTTTCACTTCAACGTCGACCGATTATTTGACAACAAAATGATTTGAGTCTCATGGTTGAGAAAAGTCTTCCAGGTCCGTTCTGTAGGATTTTTTAGTGGCTCCACTGACGTGAATATAATTCAGAAATATGTTTTCATCAGTGTCTGATAACCAGAAACCAAGTAACCAAGAGGCCTTTCCATTTGAATCAAGAGCAGCTCCTCTTCCTCTTCTAGTCACACCCGTAATGTTTTCACATTTCCTGAAGAAAACCATAACCATTCATGCTGAGACGGTAAGGGTGAGGCGTGCAGTAGGTTGCAATATGCAACTTAACCTCTAGATGTCCCTCAAGGCTACAAACTGAAATAAGGAGAACAAACAGTGACTTTACCTTCAGTTTATCAAACTTGTCGTCAACGTCTTGTAACCAGGACATAAACTGTCGCGCGTTGAATCTGTCTCTTACTGAAGTTTTACCGTCTTCGTTCTGTAAGACAAACAAAACAAACATTAATATGAAGTAACTGACTTCAGAGACTCTGATGCACTGGTGAAAACACGTTAGCTTGACCCATGTGACTCACCTGGACGTCCTGCGGCATGTTGTACACTTCAGCATCCAGTAAAACTGTACAGGCACTGAAAGGCAGAGTCTGATTGGCGAGTGTTCTTGCCGCCCGGTAATGGACCCGCAAGACTTCCTGCTCGTTAGAAACAATCAGCTTCTCCTGAAAGAGAAACAGAAAGTTAAATAAATACTTCACATCAAATCTTTGTATGTTTGTATACTTGTATTCCTCAACATGTACTGATACCTGTGACAGATTATAAGAAACTACTAGAGTTATACAAGTATCACAACAAGCATCTAAAGGTCCTGAACTAACCATTAATATGATTAAAACACAAAGTTTTACCCGTTCGATGCTGTGTTGAAGTCTCAGTTTCATGCGGACGACCTCTTGTTGTTTGAACATCTCCTTCAGCTGCTCAGGTAACGATGGAGGCGGAGTTATCTGCGGAGATGAAAACTTTATCTTTCATGTTCTTTGTAAACTGAGCCTGGTGAAGTGATCGTAAAGTAACGTCACGATGCTTTTAGTTTTACCTCCAACAACCTTCACCCCTTGATTAAAAAAGTCAAACTACAGCTGAATATCTCTAAGATTCAATAATAGAGCGCAGGGCTACGACAGGAAATACTACAAAAACAAGTCCTTCACATTAAAATCAGGCTACGAGCAAGAATTTCAAAAACAGAAGTTCAGAAAGGAAGTGAGGACACTCACTGTTGGGATACAGAGCTTGCTGAATGGGTTCCCATCTAAGAGGTAGGATCCGTTGAAGGTCACATATTCATCATAATACTGCGGCGGTTGGGGGGTGACACTGCACAACACTTTGCGCTTCTCCTCGATCTTCTTCCTGATGTGCAGGAACTCGTAGTAAGGGTTGGCCCTCTCAGTCTGGTAGGGTTCGATCTCCTCCAGCTTCACAGAGTCCACGATGGCGGCCAGAGACTGATGACCCCTCTCCTGCTGACTGGTGGAGCACGGCGGAGAGTTCGGCACTTTGGGCATCTTCCTCTTGCGTGGATGGGGAACATGGACGTCCATGTCCTCGTCTGTGGAGCGAACCTTGATCCTAGCCCCTGAAGAATCCGAATCCCGGTCTCCAGACTGTGGAGATGAGCTCCCTGAGGTGTAGCTGCTGACGTCGGTCTGACCTCCCTGCTGGACGCTGCTCTGACTCGTCTCTTCTCCATCTGAAGACTCGGGTTTCTCGTCAGCGGGCGTCACCTCCATCGGCTCGGACGAGCACTCTGCCTTGGATTCAGACGAGCTCTCGGTGGCCACGCTGCCCTCGGCTGAAGAACCGTCTGTGACAGAAACAGCAGCGCTGCTGTTCTCTGAACTCTGCGGGACATCAGTCGTCTCCTCGTCCCTGCGTTCAGGGCTCGCACAGGGCATGCTGTCTTTTATTTCTGTCTGAACATCGACACATGGATTTGCATTGTCACTGGAAGGTTTGGATTTTTTACAGTCATGGTTATTTGCCTCCATATCCTCTTGAGAACATTGGGACTCAGTGTTCGTTTTAATACAACCTGGCAAAGACTCCCCTGCAGTGGAGGTGGGAGTGTGAGAGCTGGTGGACGGTTCAGGACTTTCCATCGCTTCTGCTCTGAAGCTTTCAGGAATTATTTCCATGCTCTCTGGTTCTGGTCCATCAGCGTTCTCGAGAGGTTTCTCTCTGTGCTCAGGAAGCTGTGTGGTAACCGTTTCTGTTTGCTGTTGGCTCTCCACACCTGACGATGGGAGCGGTTCTCTCTGCTGGGGGGTTTTTGTGTTTGCAGGTGCTGATGTTTCAGCAGATACAGAAGCTGTAGGTCCTGGTGGGTGATCAGATTCCTTGTCACCACAGTCTACCTGTGAATTATCCATCACACATGGGACGTCCTTCACTGTAGAAGGTTCAGAAGGAAGAGCTTTCTGCTCAGTTGACGCGGGTTGAGAGCCACCACACTGTGAGAGGCCGGACTGTTGATTCAGGTTTTTATTCAGATGATCTTTGTTTGACATCTGTGGTGTCAAGCAGCTGGGAGTGCTACCTTCTCTCTCGGTGACTGAATCACCCACTGAATTCAAATGTTGCTGACTACTGAGGTTCTCTTCTGTTTCTGCTGAGGTCTCTCTGGTTTTCAACTCCTCAACGGGCAGACTGGGTTTTGGCAGATTTTCACCAGCTTTACCTTCAGTCGAGGAGTTGGCGTCCTCATCCAGAATAGCCCTGAGGTAGGGAGATTCATGTCTGCTGGACAGCAGCGTCCGGTTACTTTGGAGCACATCAGGAAGACTGTTGCAATCCTTATCGTGAACGGATGGCGATCTGGTGGCCTGAATGACGAGGGAAGACTGTAGGAATGCAGGTTGTGAGTCTGATGCTTCCAGGTTCATGTCGGAGTCGTATTCAGCTTGTCTCGGCGTTAGTGTTGTCGCCTGACATGAATCCTCTGAGCTGGCGACAGAGACTAAGGACACAGACCTGGACATGAGGCCACAGCGTTCGCTCTCAGGTCTGGGTGATCTGGTCAGACAGTTTTCCACGGCTGACATGACCTTTGCACCAATGGAGGGCAGAGTTTTTCCATCCAGCGAAACCGTTCTGGGGCTGGCGCCGTCCTTCAGCGGTTTGTCTCTGCTGTGGAGGTCGGAAGCTTCAGAGCTCTTCGAGCGCATTAGCTCTTTGCTCAAACATGGTTCAGTCTTCGTCCTGTCTTTTGGTCTTGGCTTCCCCGGGTCTGCCAGAGGTCGATGTTTGAGTCTTTCGCGCTCTTTCTGTTTGATTTTCTCCAGATGTTTCCGGTGCCACTGCTCAATTTCCTGGTCTTTCAGGCTGAGCATGCGCTCGAAGCTGGTCTGCATCAAGTCGTCATTCACAAGCCTCTTTTCCTTTGGCTTGACGTCTCGTGTTGCTGGCGAGGCTTTCGACTTGGCCTTATCTACATCCATCTCATTGGGTTTGACTCTGTTGATCTTGGCCTGCTGGGAGCGGTCTTTGTGCCGGTCTTTATCCTTGTGTCTCTCTGAGTCTCTCTCACGGTCCCTTCGGTCGCGATCCTTTTCTGGTGTTCTCACAACCTCCTCCTTTGATTTTGCGGACTTGCTGCTCTCAGACAGATAGCTCTTCTTCTCTTCCAAAAGTAATTTCAGATTGGAGCTTGAGGAAAGGGCTCCATCTTTTACTTTATCTCTCTTCTTCCGGTCGCAGTCCTTGTCTTTGGAGCGGTCAGATTTATGATCTGTGTTCTTCTCCAGAGGTTTGCCTTTCTTATCAGAGTTTGTGCGATCCTTTTCTCTGTGATCCCCGACACTATGCTCTCTGTCCTGCCGCTCCCTATCGGACCGCTTATCAAACTTATCTTTGTTTTTCCTGCTGTCTTCATGCTTTTTTATTGCTGATAAAGATTTTAGTTTTTCATTCTCTTTGTAGTTTTTATCTCCAGGCGAGTGGGAAGGAACGGCTCCTGTTCTTTCTTTATCCTTCCAACGATCCACTGAATTCTGTGGTTCAGCTTTGTCGGAATGCTCCGCTTTAACCTTTTTTTCCTTGTCAGGATGCCTTTTTTCAGAATCCTTCTCCTTTCCCGGGAGCCTCTTGTCAGTTTTTTCGCGTGAGCTTTTCTCAGAGGGCTCCAGCTGTTCTTGATCAGCTGTGATCCCACTTATGGGTTTCTCCTCTGTCTCTTCTTTCATGCTGTTGCTCTGCAGCGACTCCTCAGGAATCCGCCCTGAGCCGTGGCAGTCCACCCTCTCGTCACGCTCACTCAGCTTCGAATCCTTTACCTTCTCCTCTTTACCAGTCGCCTCCTTCCGCTCTCTTTTCACGGCTTTGTCTTTTTCTCGCTCCTCTCTGGGCCTCTTCTCTTTACTGCTGGAGTGTTTCTCCTTTGCATTTCTCTCATCTTTGACAGGAGAAGAATCAGAGGTCTTCTGAAGCGAACTGGTGTCTTCACCTTCCTTTTTCACTGGCAGAGGTTCATCCGTCTCATCACTTTTGAAAAAATTTTCTTTCCAGAACTCTCTGTCAAACTCCAAATTCCTGTGGCTGTCTTTCCTGGCCTCTTTTTGCCTGTGGCGGCTCCGCTCCGCCTCATATTCCCTCCTGTGTTTGTCTTTCTCCTTGTGTTTAAGTTTATGCTTCTTCACTACCTTGCCGTCTAAGTCGGTCTTCCGTAAGGCACCTTCAGAGCTGTCTATACTGTTTCCTATGCTGCTGTCTTTGTAAGGACTGGAATGACCATCATCCCCATCTACACTCGACTCTTTCTGTTGATGCTTGCTCTTCTCTTTGTGCTTGCACCCCTTGGTGCTGGAGCCTTCAGTGCAGTAGTCTGCGTCTGTGTAGTGGTTGTACTTGACGGCGTCCACCGGACATGAGCTGTCACTGATGGAAACGCACATCTTAGTATTTTCCTGTTTGAGTGGCGTCTGTTTATCTGCCAGACTGTGGTTCAGTTTAGGTGATTTGATGGATGATAAATGGAAGAGGTGGACGGACGAGTCATCTTTCGGACTGAAGGACATCTTGAAGGAGTCTTCCTCTCGACCCTTTTCCGTGCTCTCGGACACGGTTGCGAGGGAGAGGACCAAAGTTTTGCTGTTCTCTTTACCATCCTCCTGGTTTTCCTTGTTTTTATTCTGACTCTTACTCTTCCTCTTAACTTTCCCCTTGTCCTTTTGCTCAGCATTTTCCTTCTTAGATCTCGTGTCTGCCTTGAGGCTCTCTGAGCTCTGGGAGCAGGTGGGCGAGTTCCTCTTCTCTGATAGGCTTTCCATTTCATCGCTGGAGGTATCCGAACTGCAATGGACTCGAGAAGCCTTCTGCTTTTTCGGCTTGGAGGAGGAATCCCCCTTGCCACTCGGCTTTCCTGCCACATGATTCCTATCGGTGTCCTCCTTCTCCCGCTGCCGGAGTTCCCTCCGGAGGATGTGTCTGTCGTTCAGGGCTTTACTGAGATCCTCCTCCTCTTCCTCGTCTTTGAACTCATACTCATCCAGCCCTGGCACGGATGATGACGCTTTCATGACCGGTTTGCCATCGGAGTCCTTTTCAGTATCGGAGTCTTCCATGTTGTCATCTACACTAGATGGATTAACTGATGGTGGGTCTTCAGACTCTGTGAAGAGAATACAAATAATTATAAGATCGTGAAATCGAAATCTTCACCTCTCTAAGACAAATGCTATAATTTGACAGGATAAACACATTTACCTTCACATTGTTTTAAACCAGATTATGAAATCTTTAGTGGTGGATAAAAAGCTGCCAACACCATGACTGCATATATGGCCTTGGGTATAGCCGTTAACATACATTATAAACTACATCTGGCCAAGCGATATTGAAAAAACATATTTTGCTGCTAGGGTTAGTGGATAGTTAAGTTTTATTATCTGCAAACCTGAGGAGCTGTCATCTTGGTCCGACAGTGGAATCTCTCCCTTTAATAGTTGCTCCAGCTCCTGGGAGTCAGCCACGTCCACCGGGCGCTCCCCACGCTTGTTGGCCTGGAAGGCGTTTCCACCGTGACGTAGCAGCAGTTTTACAATCTACAAAAAAAAAGCATAACGCAAATTACAGAGAAACTTTACTGAGAAAGAGACGTAAACCTCGGAACTGTAAAAACAAACATTTCGAGGAAAATATGACAATAAAATGGTTAGTCATCAAAGTGTCCTACATTATTATAAAAGGACAATCTTCATATAAAGCTCTTACATCTTTATGTCCGCTGCTGGAAGCATCGTGTAACGGTGTGTCGTCATCCAGACCCTGCGTGTTCACTTCTGCACCTGCTGCTATTAAGACCTTAGCCACGTCGTAGTAACCGAGATTACAGGCTTCATGAAGAGGAGTCCAACCTGGTGAGAGCAGAAAAGAGGTTACAGTCAGTTAACTTTAAATGTTACCAGACACACATTAACAACAGAGAGCAGCGACGTGCACACTGATGTCTGTTTATGTCGTCTCATCATGAGATATTCATTCTGAATCAGCTGCTGTTTTTCAGCTTCACGTTGTTAATAGCCACTATACAGAAAGCTGTAAAAGAAATCCATCCTCCGGTCATCATACCTGCAAAGTCTTTGACGTTGACATCAGCTCCCAGGCTAATGAGCTCTTTAACTTGCTTGGCGTCGCCCCGGATGGCTGCCATGTGGAGGGGCGTCTCCCCTCGCTCGTTCCTCTTGTTGACCTTGTCCTTCTGTCGGGATGAGGCACTGCTGGGGACTTTCTTCTGCACAGGGGTCGTTTGAGAGGGGTGACTGGGTGTAGAGTCTGGGCACAGAAAGAGAGAGAAGAACTTAATTGATGCTCAGATCAAAAACCTGTCGTAGGTTGAGATAACCGGCTCTGGGTAAATTGATTGAGGCCGAGTGGGAATTTAACTCATTTAATACAGGGGACCATAAATACCTTTATTGCAACTGCATGTTATGTAGCTTTTTAAATCGGACAGATTCTTAATCTGTTGGATATGACAGTAGATGTCGGGCCCACATCGCTTTCACAGTACCCCTATACAAGCAAGTGGCCAGTCAGATGTAGCTTCAGCGTACTGAACCCGTTGATACTGAACCAGCAATGTTTACTCCTTTTTTTCTTCAATTTCTATCACATCATTTCTTCTAATGTAGTTAGACTTCTAAACCAGCCAGTCCTGAACAGGTCTGATTTGTCACTTTTTAGATAATGGGGCATTAATGGGCATTACTTAAAATGGGCAGTTCAACATTCAGGGAAATGTGCTTATTTACAATTTGCTATGATAGATAAGAATTTCAATACCAATCAGAAATGCATTTAAGGTAAATGTTCATCTGCACAATCGCACTATTAAACGAACAATCAGGTTATGTGGCAGACACGTGTCGAGCAAAAAAGGAAAGGAAACACACGAACAGGAGAGGAGAGAAACATCTGCAAGGGGTAGAAACTGTAGCAGAGAGAGGTGACACGACTGCTGATTTGGAAACGGCTCAGGTTTCTAAAGCTGGATAAACAGCTGACACATCTGTTGCACGATACTCAGGCAACCAGTGCCGACAAAGACATGAAATACACCAAACCTCATAAACAGTTTTAAAAAGGGAATATAACCATCCTGGTATAGAGAGCCTATTGAAAGCTTAAATCAACATAACTCTCACACTGTTCCTTTAATGAGCCGAGCAACCACAATGACACTGGCTTTAAAATAAACCCAATATCCTGTGTTGATTTGCGTCTGTGCAGATTCATTCTCGTCTTACAACCACTCAGAACATTTCATTAAAAAATAATCTCAGTCAATTAGCTTGATTTCATATAGGAAACAACAGCACAATAACCGTAAAAAATCACAAACATAACACAACTTTCTCTCTATTTGAGCAAAACAACCTTGAAATAGAGTAAGCTTATTAAAATGCTCAGAAACATGAGTCATCCAACAGCAGATTTATTCTAAGCCATGTTGCGGATGTGGCTAAAAAGGAGAGGCACACAAACCTGGACTGTTGGCAGTCATCTGCATCAGGAGAGCCATCTGTTTGCGCTCTGACAGAGGATACCCAAACAAAAGGTTGGGAGCCTGGGACTTCTTGCCCCCAGCCTCCTTTTTCACCTTCTTCTTGTCTGGTCCATCTTTATCTGCAAGACCAAGAGAGAGTTCAGAGAAGAGTCCACAAAGGGTAATCTTGTGACAGCAATTTAAGAATCAGTGACATTGTTTTCCTCCTCCCCTTGTATCTGTTGAGCACATAGAGAAACAGATGACAAGCATGAGGTTTGAAAAAAGGACAAAAAAAAAAAAAGAAAAGAAAGACAAAACTGCATTCTCTTAAGTGCAGACAGCTCTCCTCGGGCCCCCAACCCGTCTCTGTCGGCCAATTGTTACTAAACACAAACATGCGTGAGCTGAACCAGGGGCAGATGCACAGCGGAAAACACACACACATGCATGTGTGTGTGTTCACAGCAGCATAGTAGTGCAAAGTGGGTGAACGTGACTCAAGGAGATCGACGAGGGGGGGGCTGAGGATCGGGCTGCAGCGATTACCTGCGTATATCCTGCAGGGAGGCACTAATCTCTCTCCCCAGGTCTCACTCGACTGGCCTGGGTCTGAGTCATCTACAGTGCAAAGCAGAGAGGATGGGGAAGGGGGGAGAGAGGAGGGAGGGGAGAGCGGGGGGGGTCGGAAGGGTGGGAAAGCACTGCATTAACGCTCGCTCGCTCTCGCTCTCTCACCCTCCGCATCTCACATGTATTCAAATACAAACAGGAACAAAAAGCAAACTCTCACTCCACGCACGGATTATGAGTCATGGCAACAAGGGACAGCGGAGGAGATCCAGTTTGAGATGGTCAGCAGAGTCATTACTTCCCTTCTTCCTACCTCACAGGACCGGAGCGGCTCTACGGAAAGGCTGTGTTGGGAAGACAAAACCACTCTGTCCATGCTAGATTAGGTTTAAAACCTGCGCAACATAAATTATCCTCGGTGAATTCAAAATGAAGGGTTCTCGTCTGTTAGAATGACCCAGGACCACACAATGAAAATCATTACGTTGAGCTTTTCTCTGCAGAGGAGATGAAGGCAAATGTGCAGTCTGTATTATAAATTACTGTACTTCATTTACTGTAATTATGGCTTGACAAAACAATTTTACTATTTTTAGGTCTCAAATCTGACGTAAACATACAATTAAACATCTAACTACATGATGGAAGCAGAATAGTCTATTTACACAAGAGGTAAGATTAAGACATAACCTCTCCAACGTAAAGGGAAACATTTTATTGTGCACACGGCGTTATTATTATTGCAAGTCCTCTTCCAGCTGCGTGGACGATATATGAACTTCAAGTAGAAGCCTCCACTGCAATTATGTTTTCCTATTATGTGAATATATTTCATAAAAAGAATTATACCACAAAACATTTCATCCCTTTCTCAATACTTTCGGAAACATACCACAACTGTGGCTCTCGTCTGCAAGACAACTGGGTTTTTGCAAAGATTTCTTAGACTTTTCCTATCATGACATGACTAAAATTAATTTCACATCATTATCAAACTGTGGCAGCACAAAGCAGTCTCTGTCAAAAACAGAGAAATAATCTATATGAGGGTTTTGCCTGCACAGAAAATACTCAGGATCAATTTATTCTTGATTCTGGTCTATTCATGGGATTGTTGACAAGCCTAAAAGGACTGGGGCTCTGTTTTTTTTCTTCCCATTAAAACGTTGACTGACAAACCTCACAAAAAAACATGTGGAATTATTTCATCAAAAATAATTTACACACAATTGTATTTGCCCCTTTTCGTGAGCATCATTAAAAACCTTGCATATTTCTTGGTGTCCATCGTGACAGACCACAACTTTATCAGCATGATAAACAAATATAAACTCATTGACCTATGGACAAACCCCTGGTTCAACAACTGGCCACCAGGGGGCAGTGTGGGGACATGGCAGCAGGCCAGCAAGAGGCTGTTGGAGGAGGAGGAGGAGTAAGGAGCAGCAGCAACGGTCTTTACCAGTGTCTGAGTCTCGCTCCTCTGTCCGGGGCGGACTGTTAGTGAAGGAGAGCTTGCGCTTCATGGAAGACTTGGCTTTCCCTTCTTTCCCCAGCAACTCACTCCGGTCCAGCTTTGGAGTTTTGGTGAAAGGGGACAACTTATCTTTGCTCTGTCAGAGACGAGGAGGAAGAGAAACAAGAGAAAATAATGAGACGTGAAACACAGCAGAGGTGTGGCCACACTGGAGTCTTCGTGCGTGTGGGCCTGTATATGTAAACAATACAGTCATGACAAAGGCAGCTCCGTTTGAAAAGCTCTGTTTACAGCCTAGATAGCAGAAGGGTTGAGATTAGCAAGCAGGCAGCAAATCAGTTGAGAGTTAAGCGTGCTAAAGCATGATATAAATTCATGTTATTACGAGACAGGGTGTGTTGTGTCTTTAATATTGTGTCAATCGTGCAGGCAACAGGTTTCTCTGCATGACTCACTAAAATATTCAGACGCCAAGTCTCTGGCAAGTTAAGATGCTTAGACAGATAATTACAACTACGGAAGAGTACGAAGTTTATTGAACTGGTACATTGTTTGTTGAAGTGTGAGAATTTCCACAATAGTGCAAGATGCATTCTCATCAGAGCATGTGCGATATATCGATTGGCTGATCAGGCTTTCACAGATATATTGGTATCTAGAAGATGTGCATTTATGTTTATAATTCACGGTCAGGTTACACATCCAATGGAATAAAATGACAAATCATCTCAGCTCCCAATGACAGATCTCTCTGCATCAGGCCTTAACAGTTACATCAGTAATATCTTGTTTTTATCGCAACACCTTTCAGTTCCAGTTACTGGGTTCTAACACTGATCTGCAGACAAAGCTTCTTCAGTGCCATTACTTTCAGCAAGATGCGCTCTAAGAGCAGGAAAATACATTTCTGGCAGAAGGAAAAATTTCTGCAGTGTGGCGCTTCTTTGATCTCAGTGAAGCAATGTAGCAGCTGTGCAGAGAGTCTGTCTGTCTGGCAATGTTGAAAGTAGAGGAGAGTGAAGCTGAGAGGTGCTTCAGCATTTAAAATAACAGCAGACATAAAATGCCCCTCTCATTTAGAGAGAATGGATAATTACTAGTGCTAGTACAACAATGTTGAGAGGGGGGGGGGCTTCAGAAATGTAGCCGTTTTATGCTGAGTCGGTTCCGGTGCAAGTAAATATTTAATAAGAGTCCTTCAGACATCATGTTGCGTCAAACAGACTCTGCTCAGCCTCATCCAGATTTGTACAGTTCTAATCAAATATGATAGCTTCAGTGTTGACATGTATGACGTCTGTGTGTTCGTGTTCACATACCTTCTTCCCCGCCTGCTTATCCACCATGGCTCCATCTCTGTCGCTCCCAGGTTTGGCCATGGTGCGGCACCTGACTAGCTGTGACAGCTACAGCACAGTAAGGTCATCATGCACCTGGAGACAGACAAACATCGGCCATAAGACGTCCACTCTGCCACATCACCAGAGATGACTGAGTCTTTCATTAGACACACAAGGTGTCGAGCTGACCACTGACGAGGTGATTCAGGAGTGTCAGGATCAGTGTTTCTTCTGAGCAGAGAGGAGCTCCTTTACCACGCACTTTGGCAACTCTTTATTTCTCGACACAAAACCTATAACACATTTGATGGAAGACGCGCTGAAGAGCATCATGTCACCTTTAAATTAGAACCCATCAGACCCTCAACAGTCTTGACTGCATCACAGAGGAAACCGGCGCTAACCCCAGGTGGAACGAAACTCAGCTGTGTTTCAGGATGCAGGATGAGTTGATCACTAATCAGGGATTTTTATTGGAATTTCCATTGCACAAGAGCAGGAAACAACTACACAAGGCAGCACGAATCGCAACTTTAGGGACTGTGAGATTCTGAGAGGAAAACCTCCCCCTGCATGTTGTCACTCTGCCTACTCATCAGTGTGACCAAGCTTCCCTCTGATGTGGTCTGTGTCAGTGTAGTAACACATGTAGCGGAGTCAATGGGGGCACTGTGCATCCCTGCAGTCAGTGGAGGAAGCATAACACTGAACATGCGCATGATGAGTCCACATGTGTCATCTTTTCACATGACGATTTATAGTCATAAGAAAATACTCGAGACCTTTCAGGAAACTTTCCCTGCAGTTTCTTTTTAAACACTCACTCATAATTACCTTCTGATTCACAGCAGACATAGAAACTCTTTACTAAGAAAACCTCAAATTGTTTAGTCTATATCAAGCCACCAAAGGGTATGGGACAGCCCCATTACTTAAAACACATCTAACTGCAACTCAACTATAAGTGTATATATTAAACATGTAACCTACCAAGAACAGAAGAAGCATAATTGATTCTTCTATGTGATTCTAATTAGAGCGACCCACCTGTCTAAAAAACTCAAACTAGCTTTTTCCATCAGTTCTGGGGATTTGTTTTCTGGAGTTTACATATCACAAATGAAGAAAGCAGCAGGTAGATTATTTAGTTCAGATATTTTTCGCAGCACCAGGAAAGTCTCCGGAGCGTTGAGGTGAGGGGAAACATCTGGGCAAGTAGCACAGTAGCTTAAGTGCAGTCTTCGCAATATTAGAAATTAAATTGGAAATTAGAGACAAAAAAAAAAACATTAACATGAGCAGCCTTCATATTACGATTATAACACAGACAATCAAAAGGAACAAAGTAATGAGTCACCAGAGTAAAATATAGAGCTCATAACTGGAGAATCAAACATGCCAGTTCTATAAACAGCACATCCACCAGTTCAAAACTACACTGTCATGTAACTATAATCAATCCATGCCTACGTGTGACGCAGAGCTGAAAACATATTACCACTGGAGCTAAATGGATCATAACAAACTGCAGGCCTTCATTTACACAACTGTCATCTTTATGGCAAGCACTGTCTGGAATTTCATGCGCATCACTTTCACACAGACAACTTTGTGGCCTACTGAGGATTTATGTGAAAGACACAAATCTTACAAGTTTAAGAAGTTAATGTGATGAAAGTCAGAGGCATAAACAAAACAACTGCAGCACATTAGGAAACTAAAATTACTGCCTTGTATCTGCAAGTCTCGGTCAACCAGTCAAATTGCAGTTTACATCCCTCTGTGTTCACACTCATATGTTCGTAGTAGTAAGTTTAATAAAGAAAAGTATTATTTGCAGAATATTATGATATGAGTGAGGTTTAGCTTTGACCTTTTGGATATAAAATGGCATGTGTTTTTTGTTAGGTCTGGCCATGACCTTTGACCACCAAATTCTACTCAGCTCATTCTGTGGTAGTCCAAGTAAATGTTTGTGCCACATGTAATGAAATGACCTCCAGGCTTTTCTGAGATATCACAGTCATGAGAATGGGATGGATGGATGAACAAACAACCCAAAAAGGTAATGCTTCCAGCCACAGTTAAATAATCCCTGAAGCCTTCCTGTTCTGCATGTCATTTTATTAAAAACAGAAACATGCAACTAATCATGCGGTTGAAATTGAATATATAAATATAAAGACTACAACCTCATTAAAATATTTAACCTCATTAGATAGCAGGGGTTTGAATAACAGTCACATGCCATTTGACTTTCCAGACAAAACTCAGCCATACTTGTTTCCTGCACTTAATTTCCATAAATAAAAATGACTAGACTTCTTAAAAGTTATCCCACGTGTCGGTTCTTTGGATATCTTCACAACCTTTGCTGATCCTGAGTAATAGCACAGTGTTGACAGGTATCGTTTTTCCAGCACACAGCCCTGCCGCACAGCTGAGGCCAGTGAGAGGTCCATCATTAGTCAGCAGTTAGCCAGTATGCAGCAGCATTGTCATTCAGCCAGCTGAAAGGAAGAATTGAGCAGCCCACAGTGAGCACGCTGGTGTAAAGAGGCTAGTGTATCGAGGGTATTAAAGCAGTATGGACAGCCCGGGACCAGACCAGAAAACAAACGCTGACAGGACTCCAATCTGGCCCGGAGACGAGGCGAGGAGGGTGTGACTATAATTACAGAGGTATTTGGGCACTGGCCAGTTCGGCATTCACATTCGCTGCGTTTCATGAGCAGCTCAGGGCTGCATAAGCCTCTGCGAGCTCTGCCATTATCCTTGGGCTGTTTCAAGTCTAGCTCAAACCCCTGCCTTGATGACTACTGAAGTTCACAGTGCCTAAAACCCCGATTAGTTTGGCATGGGACCCCATACAGTGAAAACTGACTGATAGCAACAATTACCTAACCCACTTATCACCAATGAAACTGAACAGTGCAGAATCACAGCTGTAAAACAGTTAAGAGATGCAAAACAGAGAGAGAGATATGACACTAGAGTCAGTCACGATGGCTGGTTCCCTCAGTCTTAACATCAGAGAAGTGGTAAATAATTCAGCAGCTAAGAGGAGGACACTAACATTAACACCAAGAAAAAAAAACTAAATATACAAGGACTGCTACTAATTATTATTCTTATCATCAGTTAAGCAGCCAATTAAAGATCAAATAATATTTATATTTATAAGAAAAGTCAGAAAATACTGGGAAATGACAGCCAGAGCTCAAGGTCATCTACAGATATCTTGGTTAATCCAAACAAAAGATATTCAGTTTACTATAAAATTAAAAAAAAATAGGAGCAAATTCACACTTTGTAAAAGTGGAGATGTTTTAAAATCTAACTGAAACTATTTATGTTCTATCAGAGGAGTAATTGTCAATCAATCAATTTAATAGTAAGACTGAACCAACAAATTACTTGAATTGCTGATAAACAGAACATTTGTGTGCAGCTAATTTATTAACTGATCAATTTAGTCATTTTCTGGATACCCACTTTAATAGACAGCAACTCTGCTCTGTGCATTTTGAGCTTTTCTTCATTTCTGAGTTGTTTTAGACTGGGCCTTAAGAAAGTGTGATGGTAGCAAATGACTGTATCTAACGACAAGCTGCAACCTAAATGTATAGACCAGTTGTCTTTGGGGATGACCAGATCATGCTGGTTTTCAGGATGGATGACAGTTTGCTTTTCAGATTATGCAAATATTTCAATTTCAAAATTTCCACCATGCATGAGCCAAGTCCGTGAAATCTCAAGTTAAGTGTGCTGGCGGCGTTGCTTGTCCTTCTGAGAAGCAGATGTCCCTGTATTTATTTATAACCTGGTGTTCCTGCACTAACTCCACTGGTTCCTGGCTAACAACAATAACAACCATTTCCCTGTAGTGCATGACCATGTTGGCCCTGACAGCAGAGTGGCTGCTTCAGTGTGTTCCCTTGCATAAGTATATGTGTTTGGGGGTTTGGGGAGTGTGCTGGGGGCTGGTGTGGAGATGTGTGTTTGAGGTGGGTGAAGCATGTGTGGCGGAGGCCTAACCGAAATGGATGAGGAGCGCACACAGTACGGTAACCCGATCCAGTGACTGCAGGATGGGACAGGGAGGGAAGGGGGCTAAGAATAGCACAGAGCCTGACACAGGGTACGCCACCACTGCCGCCACCAACAGCAATGGCAGCTGCAGCGGCAGCATTACTCTACTACAGCTTCCAGAGTCAGAGCACGGCCTGCTGCGAGATCTCACACACACTGGGTGGAAAACACATGTGATTTTCCCCTGGTCTCCCATGTGGCTGCACGAACGGCTGCACACACAAAGGAACCGACTGAAAACAAGCTCTGAATGCAGCTCTCTGGTCAAAAGGTTATACAGAGGAGCAAATAATTCAATTATTAACAATATCTGAAATATATAATGAATCTGGTGTCTGCATTTCACCACAAAGATCCTGAAACGCGCTCAAGGAGACACTACACTTGCTGCGACAGTAAACAGCCAGTCACGTGGTTGTGGTCCTGTATGCCGTCAGGCTAAATGATGGGGGAGGTCTCTCTCAGCTGCACATCCACTCCAAACCTCCGTCTCCTCCTCCTCTCTCCTCCCCCTAATGAGTAGCAGGACAAAGCCATGCGCAAAAGGCCCGATTACAGAGACTACAGGAGACAGGAGAGGCAACAATAACCAGCAAAGAGCCAGCCATCTTCAGATCACCCACCCCGATGATCACCCACAGATACCAGCTTACAAATGTGTACTATACACCTTTTTGTATAAAGGGCCATGTCATGTCAAAAATCCAAATTATTGTGAAAATGTTAAAACAATGAAAATTGATTGCTTCCAAGAGAAATTATATATTTTAATTATTAAAAATACGTGTGAAGGTTCAGTTTATTCTCAGTGACTATTAAATGAACATTGAGTGGTGCGTTACAATTAAACATTATAGTCTGGTAATTATATTGTATTTATATATAGAAGATCTGATAAATTGTGATGCTTTAATTTGCTAAAATACTACTGGATTAATTATGGTTGAAAGTAATAGAAAGCCAAGCCAGGCTGATGTTGATATTATATGTAGAAAAAGGCA